CTAATGCATGAAAATCCTAACCTCAAAAAAATCACCCGTTATTAATAATCGTTTCATCATAGGCTGGCTATCATCATCGTATTGTNAGCATCACTCTGTCATATGCATACCATTATTTATATATTTAAATATGTGTTTTTTAAATATTTGTTTTTGTGTCTTTGTAAAAATGTATTCTTGTTAATTACACACATTACAGTAAATATGTATTAATAATCGTTTCATCATAGGCTGGCTATCATCATCGTATTGCATTCTTTCCATTCCACTTTGAGTGCAGTCATCTAGTCATCTTTGAAAATTCTTTTTTAACGCTTGTTTATTTGTTTGTATGTATGTATGTTTGTGATTTCATTGTAAATACAATTGAAGAGAAGAGAGCCTTACAGTAGTCGAAACATTTAAAAAACAGAAATTATACGAAATAATAATCCGGTTGCTGCTGACTTTGCAAAGTCTCTTCACGATAATGAAGTTTTCGCAAAAAGCTTTTAAAAAATTCGAAGCGTACACAGAACAGACAAACGATGGAAATCAAGAGATATAATTGCGATTTCCTTAAAATATTTTGTTTTGATTAATTGATTTCACGAATCCATTTTAAATCACCATGTAGTCGAGGAATTTTCTTTTAATTCGGCTCCTTTATGCGCTCTTATGGCCAGATATAATGGAACGAATGGCAGAGTTCTACAATTTTGGGGATTTTTCGGGATATATACTACACTCGTGGACAAATAAAAAAGAGGTGCAAAATTTTTGTGCTTTTTTGAATTTTTGCTTATTTAATGTTTATTAATTTTGTACATATAAAAATGTATTTAAAACTTTGTACAAAAATTAGAAAAACTGAAATTTTTTTTTAATTTTCACCAACATTTCAAAAATTTATAGCCCATTAAATTAAGTGAATTCAAACGCGTTTTCATCAAAAATTTCAAATTGTTAATTAGAATTCTTAGAAGTTATTTTGGTATGCAGTTTTAAATACGGTGACTAGAATTGTTTAACATTCCAGGAGGACCAATTCTCCACATAAAGAAAAAATTCTGTCTTAACACATAAATAACGAATAAATTAACAATTCAAAGTTTCTCTAAACACAAATCAAACAAGTTACAGTGTACTATACACTGCGTTGCATAATTATAAGATCGCCTGATATTAACAAGTTTTGACTATTTATTTTTAAATTATTTAATTGTAATTGTATTGCTTGCAAAAGAAATTGCTTTTGTTCTCCGTCTTTCATCGTTCGACTACAATTTTGTACCAACGCTATACCTCGTTCAGCAATATCATTAACATATTTAATACATACTCTTAATCGTCTCTAAGACAACCAACTTCAGTGTAATTTTTAGAGAATGTAGTGGCCTACAAGAATATGCCCAGAAAAAAGTTGTATCCCAGTTCAAAAGTTATAACTTTTTAAATGAAAACAAATTCTTTTACATGTTACTTTCATAGAAATTTTCAAGTGCCCACCGACACCTTTCAAAATTGAAATCAAAACTTGTCCAAATCTCAGAATTTCCTTCTCAGTAAACAGGTAACTTTAAGTCCACAAATTCGATAGGAGGACAGAGAAGGATAATATTTTTGCGGAGGACAAATCACATCTGAGGAGGACAATTCTCCTCAAAGCAGGACGGTTGGTCAGCTTAGTTTTAAGTCTCCTTGAATTTTAGTACAATAAAGAGCGACTAGTAATTCGCGTTGGTTTTTAATAACTTTTTTTTTTGCTGGCGGTTCCACTCATTTTCTTCCCTATAAAGTATGTAAGAAAGTTTTTTTTTATATAGAAGACAAGCATCAGCAAAAATTATGTTATTACCGATTTTTTTTCTTGAAATTTTAAGTTTGAGATTTTAGTGAAATTACATTTTAATAAGTTTTTACAATGTGGATTTATATTGGGGATGTTATATAATGGGCTAAAATTATATACAAAATTTTAAAATATTAAATAAACAAAACGAAAATAGCTCAGACTTGTCAAAATGTAGTACGCCTATTTTTTATCCATGAGCGTGTGTAGTACATAAAAACTAGACCTTTCCGCTTTGCGAATGAGAATATCGGTGGCATAAAGTTCGATTTTGACCAAACTGCTAGATACATAAAAAAATTTAAATTTAAAAATATATATATTTATTGGGTTTAATCTGAACTTCTCCTAGCATGCTGTTTTCCCTCTTACTCACCCTATATAAATTTATTTTTGCACGTTCTAAGCATTTTAATAAACGTAAGCCTTATTAGAATACTCGCTTGTATTCAGTAACAGTACTCAGAACTCGACAGTACCCGATTTTAAAAAGTATCGATACTGAGTCGTCTCCAAAGTGCTCAGTATGTACTCAAGAATGCTCTGTACAAAGTTCGTTTTATATGTATGTAGTGGTACATATTCAGAAATGATTGTGCCCAGTTTCAAGTTTTCAAAAGCACTATACTTGTACTCAGGACAGTTAGCCAAAGTTTAGTACTATGAAAATACGATTTGTGGCGTGGGCCTTGATGTTGACACACAAAGGGGAGGGACCTACTCCGACTCCGAACGGCGATTGTATTTTTATGAGAAGCTGTTTTCCATACCAGAAATACATTCGGAAGTTTGCCATTACCTTCGGAGGGGCGACCGCTATAAGAGGAACTTTTATTGGTTTTGTTTTATTTTTGATGTTGGTCGGAAACTGGGCTCGAAGCCAGGCCTGCGGATTGCCAACAATGGATTAAGCATGTGGTTAATAAAAATATTTTTTACATTAACAGTAAGAAAAATATATTCAGGGTTACCGTTAAACCCGTAAATATTGAAAGCCGAAATAAATGTTCAAACACATTTTTAGAGTTCAGCAATAGTTTCGAGATATTGGTGAATTTTAAGAGTTTATTTAATTTAATTTAATTAAGAACTTATGTACCAATTTTTTAATACATAGATGCCTAATTCGTTGCCAGCATTTTCTATACAAGAACTCACTGATTCGATACATTTCTTTGAAACCATCGCCAATGAGATCGAAATTTTTTCGAACCCTCATCCGCTGTCGGGTAGTAATGTTCCACCATCGTTTTCTATCTCCAATAGATATTTTTAAAATTTGAAATGCCTTATGGATTTTAGAATTAGAAAAATTGATAAAAATTGTAATGCCATTCGAATGACTGTTTCTTACAAAATAAAGACAACTAGGAAAATTTCAAAATTAAAAAATTAGCGAGTCCACTACGAGTGTTTGAAAAATATATTTTTTTTTAAATCTCGGAAATTTTGAATTTTACAAGCTGTAACTCAGCGAGTTTATGAATTTTTACAAATAAGTTCCAGTAACATGTCAAATTTATCAGATTTCATGTTGAAATTTTGTAGAATTTTTGCTATTTAAAAAACTTAAAATGTTTTCAAACCCTAAAACTTTGTTTAAAATTTTGAAATGTTCGTTTATGTCCTTAATTTGTATATACATATGTATAACAAAAAAAGGAGTGTCAAATACTAAATTTATATGTTGGTATTTTAAGGACCACCCTAATACATATGCAATAAAACAAGCCAAAAGCATTATCCGGCGAAAGGGATTAGTCCTATGTTAGGTCATATTTTAATATTTTTGATTGTGTTTGTTTTTTAAATACCAAATTTTTTTGACGTGGACTTGACCACAAGTGAGCGATAGGTACCCTAAAAAAGAGGGTAATATATTCTTTCTTAAAAATTTCGTTCTTCGTTTGCATGGGTGTGTCTAATTCTCAGCGAGATTATCATCTCTAGGACGCCCAAGGGTTTATTTTATGATTTTTTTTTCTATAATAACTCAAAAGTTCTACTTGGAAATATGCGACCAGCGTGAAGAAAACAACAATTGCATCACTGTTGAAGTTTTTAAATAAAATACCTATAATTTTTTTTTTTTATTAAAACAACTTTGCAGTATCGCCTCAAATATCGCGCACTCTCTCTCTCTCTCTAACAAGCACACCGCTATTTGCGCTCACATCATGTCAATGTTGGTCTATTGCTCTTTGTAATTTAACTCGATTTAAACAATAATGCCATGCCATTGTAAAGCCGTAACAAATGCGTGTATTTTCTCATCATACATATCTACATGTTTGTACATGCGTCTCTTTCATCGCGACGTTTTCACTATTGGCTCCTGTCTCACTAAATTCACTGTGTCTCTGTCCATAATTTGCTTCTCTCCCTACACTCTCTCTCTCTCTCTCTCTATCTCTGTTTCCCAGTTTCTGCCACTGTCTGCCATGTGTGTGTTTTGCGCTCTGTAAATTGTTTGTCAATTCAAACGTGTTGCCTGCCTGTTACTGAGGCCGATAAACTTGCTGTCATCATTGCATCGAATGCTACCAACCATTCACTAAATATCGATATGCTCAAATCAACCAATCTTAAACAAAAAAAACCTATATTCATATAGGAAAGCACTAACATTAAATTTAAGGCTTTTTAGACATAATTACATATTCTCATAAGCGTACCTAAAACCAAATAAAATCTTCATATTTAAGGTGCAATGCATACTATTCATAAATTCGTGTACATAGGTTTGCACAAAAAGTGTTAGAATCCTAAACTTTTTTGTAGTATGTCAGTCAGTAAGTGAGTAACTTAATAATTTGTTTATTGATTTTATTCTCGACTTTTTCCAAAAATCCTACTCCAACACTTCAACTTCGCCTCTTCTCAACTCTCGATGCAATCCAAACTTGTACAATAAAATTTTGTAATCATGGCTATGCGACATGTTGCTAATTTTCAACAATCCCCGACACTCTTTGATTGCCAAACACACATGCAATAAAAAATAAAAAATAAACAAACAAACGAATGAAAAAACTGAATTCGAATTATGATTTGAAACAAAACGAATTACTGGCGATGGTGTAATCGGTATATTTGATCGATTTTCAATGGTTTTATCGATGACGTGATGACAATGATTGTGTGAATTTGATTTGTACCGATCCGATCCGATCTGATCGTATGTGATAACGATTAACTAAAGGTGGAGCGACTTTGCAAATGTCAGAGACTGGTGGATTATCTACGTTACCGGGCACGGGGGGCAACACAAGCGGCACACTAATACAATTGCCGCCGGATAACGCGCCGACATTTTACATACCTCATAGGATTCCATACAATACCAGTAAAGAACGTTTCCAATTATTTTTGTATTTACTTTAGAATTGATTATTTCTTTAAAAATTTTAACCAAAACGTGCAATGAGCGCGCTTTTTTCGAGTCGCTCTTTAGAGAATTTAATTATTTATAGCTATGCATTAGCATATTAGAAACTTATTTTGTACTTTCTTTGCTTTTGTTCACTACAGATAATAGTGGCATAGCCGAGGATCAAACGCGAAAGCGTGAGATACGTTTACAAAAGAATCGTGAGGCAGCGCGTGAGTGCCGGCGTAAAAAGAAAGAGTACATAAAGTGCCTGGAGAATCGGGTGGCGGTGCTTGAGAACCAAAATAAAGCGCTCATTGAAGAACTGAAGTCACTCAAGGAGCTCTATTGTCAAACAAAGATCGATTGAAATAGGCAGGATGATGACGACGACGACGACGATGCGGTTGGGACGGATGTGACGGCTTCGGTTGACTATGAGGACGACGCCGATTGCGATGGTGATGGTGACGATAACGACGCCGATGAGGACATTGTTGACGAAGTTGATACCTCTGATGCAGAGGGGACGTCAGTTGCGACAGCGGAAACCGCGACCAATACAAACTTTGAAACAGTAATTGCTAGAGAAGTTATTAATGTCGATGCGACATGCGAAACGAAAGCAGCTACACTACTTAGTAATGAGATAAAATACCATGAGGACGATAATAGGAGTCCTTATGAAGAGGACCTCGCTTTGTTGCGAACTGTTGCAGCTGAACGAAATGTTGCTCGAGCGAATAGTCACAAACTGCAATTGGTGCATGTGGATACGACTCCGTCTGCAGTAGTAGCAACAACAACAACAACAACAAATACTATTGTGCGTCGCCTTGTAGTAGCAAATGTGAATGCTGCCGCAGCCGCTGCCGTCAATGCCACCGCCGCCACCGTTGTTTATGTGCCCGCTAGACCTCCCACAAATTGTTAACCTGATTCGGCGAAGAGTTAGATTTGCATTAATTTTTCGTCTGAACTAAAAATTTTTGATGATAAACAAAAACTAAAAAAATCAATCAACACAAAAACACTCAAGCATAGAAAGTGAAGATAAAACATTTTTTTGTAATCTAATTTATATACATATGTATGTACGTATCTTTTTAGAATGAGCCGAGAAAGGATAAATACATTATAATTATGTAAATGCAATGCATTTACATATGTACATATTTATATGTATGCACATATGTATAATGACAATGGAAATAGTAAGAGTTAGATATCTATTAACGACAGCCCAGAAGGCTGTGGTGATTTTCGACAAGCTTAAGTTTACGGAACGACAACAGGATGTTTAAACCTTTTTTATAAAACAAACGTGAAATTAAGTTGCAATTCTTAACAAATGTTTTACATTTAAAAAATAAATTTAAATACATATATTTTTTATCTAAGTTTGTATGCTACTGTACAATTAAGTAAAGTAAAGTTGACGTAGCGCAGAGTGATGCAGAGGAGTAGCGAATGCTTTTGATACCTTGACGCTGTAGGAAATTATGAAATGCAACTAAATTTAATATTAAAAGGTTTAAGAAATACAAATTGCAAATCAAGCAAGGTTAATGAAAAAAAAAAAAAATAAATAAAACATAGAAGCACGGAATGAAGCATTATAACGTAAAGATTCAAAAAATTTAAATATCAAGCATGAAAAGTTGTAAATTATACAAAAATTTTAATTAATGATGTATATTTTTCTTATGTATGTTACCGCATAGCTTTGGATTACGTTAACCGATTTCTATAATTAAGGTGGTACCTCCCATACCAAATTGGTTTCGATCCGATCATTGGATCATGAAGAAATTAACGGTAATCTACATTTTTATTTGAGAATTGAATTCGGTTTTTTTTTACGCTTAAGAATTACTTGTTTTGTGAAAGAAAATAAAAGGATAAATGGTAGCTAGTCGCTCGGTATTTCCTTGGCTAAGCGGTACATTAACAACCATGTCCAAATAAGCGTGGTTGGCCTTACGCCCATCAACTTGTCATCTTCTGGCTCATATAAATTTAATGTGTTAGACAGAGAGATAAGCACACAAGCGTAACATGGAACGCGCCATTTTGGGTATAGTTATAAGGAACATTTTCTTCAGTGTTAGTTTAATTGCAGTATACCTCTAAACAAATTGTAATTATACAAATAATAGGGATTTAAACTTCATTTAAGCCGAGTTACTAAGGTATAAGCTAGCACTGAAAACTCATATTTTTTTTATTTGTTGCTTGCTTAGTTAGTTAAGTATATTTGTATGTATAATATTATATTATCAAGCCAACAACAAATTCATATGCTTAAATGCTTATTTTTTAATTTAAATTCATTTAAGTATGCAAGTCTACACTACATACATACTACTATTTAATTACAAAACTTTTTGTTAATATTGTCATTAATTTAAATAAAAAAGCTATGCCGAAGAATTGGCATAAAACAGAGTCAAACGAAAATTAAAAAAAAAAATTCTCAAAATATTTGTGTATTTAAATATTTACCCGCGGGTTTCACACCGGGTTTTTATACAAATATGCAAAATAATTTCAAAATAGGTACATACTATATATTTTTGCTTTCATTTTACTATGTATACATATCTAGCTGTATATTTTTTTCAAGCGAGTTAAGGTATTTAGGGCGTTTAATATTTTGGAATTAAAAAATCTTCGCACAGTAGCCTTCTAAGTTTAGCTGAAAATGGTACCAGAGATACGCCAGGATGTGCCACAACCGGTTTTTAATGTTTTCAACTCTAATTCAGTAATGTGGCACTAATAAAATACCACATTTCAGTACCCTAGCTAAATGCTTCCTGTGGTATTGAACTTTCGAATTTGAGATCACATGGGAGTTACCATACCTCTAAAGTTTTGAGGTTATATGTTATATATAATAAAAAAAAATCATTATTATTTCCGTGGAACAACTATTTTTCGACCACAAACAAACTATGCCCAAACGTGGTAGTCAAACTCCTATATTATTCGTGATCCATATCATTACATGATTGTACTAATAAGAAAATATTTTTATTTAAAATTTTTTAGTACGGAAAGTCGGTTTTGTTAAATACTCAATCATACTGCATATCGTTGGCTGAGTGGAAGATCGACCTATCTCGGCAGCTAGTTTGAAAACGCCCTATCTCAGAAAATTTTCCAACATCGTTCTATCTCAGAAATCTTCTCAAGAACGCCCTACTTCAGAATTTGATTGAAAAACACCCTACCTCAGAATTTGGTTGAATAACGCCCTATCTATTAATATACCATGCCGACACATGAAGACGGTTATCTCCTCAATCTTGCTCTGTAGCCCGTTACAGTTGAATTGAAGGAGCTTCATGTGGTTCGGGAGACGTGTCGTGATGTGGGGTGTAAGTGAGGTGTATGTTCTTGCCGCCGTTGGCTGTGTGTGCTGCTGAGGTGATTGCCGCCCTGTGGTGGTGGTGGGGGCGTCGCAATTGAAGTCTGCGACCGAGCAGCGCAACATGGGCCCTCGAAGTTCCCCGTCCAATCTCGCGTGGTACGCAGACCTGAACATGCCCTAAAGTGGCACCAGCCAAGGCAGGTGTTGCACTTGACGGATGTCACATTACGGAATATTCTGGTCTGACATACCGTGCAGATTGTAGGGGGAACCAGGAGTTGTTGACGGCGGCGTGTGGGTGGTGGTGCGGTTGTGTGTGTTATGTGGTCTGTGGTGGCTGTGGTACGGTCTGTGGTGTTATTATGTTGTTGTGTTGTGGTGACTGTGTGTGGCTGCTGTGTGAGTGTGTGGGGGTGCTCGGGCGGACTATGGTTAGCCGTGGAGGCTGCTCTGTTGGAGCAACAGGGGGCCACGTACGACGTGGTCCACTGTCTGTGTGTCCGTAGTNTGGAGTTGTGGTGTAATCGTCTTCGGCATACACAGCAGGTGTATATTTCTGGCCCAGGGTTTGACTCGATGCCAGCCCTGAGTAGGAGAATGCGTAGTGAATGTTGCCCTATGGGCGGACAACTTTTGAGATACTTCGCCGTCCTAAACGGGGTTAGATCGCCGAAACAACAGCCCTTGGTCGGGTGAAACCCGAGTCATTCCGGTACGTAGAACCGGCTGTCGTGGGAATGTTCACACCTGTCTGGTTATCAGGTTATTTGATTAAAAGCATTATTCTGCACTGTATTTTATTAGTGTAAATTGAATAAAAAGTATAAGCACATAACACCCACAGAGTTACTTTTCTTAAAATAGTTAATAAACATTAAATGAAAAACACATATGTATGTATGTACATATTTGCTGCTTGCATCTTTTTAAAGTTTGGCCGAGCTTCTATTCAAACATGTGGCGTACAAATGGTTTTAATGAGAAGCCTTTTCAAGGCACAAATACACTAGAGAGTTTTGCCGTTGCATGACGACGACCGCTACAGAAAAAACTTAAAAAACAGAAAAAATTTTAAAATAATAGATTAAAAGCAGCATCGTTAATTTTTTCCAATGTTAAAACTAAATGAATTTCTGTTCTCGATTTCGCCATACAAAAATTCTAAACAATCTTGAATTTGTTAATATCACTGGATCACAAATTTTAGTTTGGATTTTGTTCTCGAGTTAATTTTTTTTTCTATGGATACGTTTTCGAGATATTTTCAATTTACCGTTATTCAGCTTAAAACAAAAAGTGGTTGCACTTAATGACGCAAGAATGATAGAATACAAGATTGCGCCGATCGGAGAGGATTTTTGAGAATAACTTGTGTGTGACGTCACACTGGTGCAATTGCGAGAGAGAAATGCCAAAACGTGAGCAAGAATGGAAGAAGAAGAAAAAATGTTGCAAGGAAAACGTAAACAAGTTGCACCAGTGTGACGTCATGCAAACAGCGATTCTGTCAAATTCGTTAAGAGAGGAATAGCGGTCCGAGATCGGCGCAACCTTTGTATTCTCTCAATCGTGTTAATGACGTATATCTTACGAACCAATTTAACAATCTTAAAAGGAGATACGTCAAATCAAAGCTAATAAAATTATGCTTAAACCACATATTCATCATTTTCCGATAGGACTGATAGTTTCTGACAAATTATTTAATCATAACTTTTTTTTCATTTTTTAATGAAAAAATTAAAAAAAGTCAAACTTAACAGGAGAATTAAAAAAATAACAGGTTCTGTGCCGATTTGTGCTAAAACAAACAAAAAAAAAACTAGTTACTGATGAAGAAAATCGAAGGATAAATAAGAAATAGTGAGTGGTCAAATGAAAATGCGCAAAGATTTTTTGTATGAAATATGAGCTCAGGTGCACGTGGCGTATGCGTAACTTTCTTTGCTGCTCATTTTTGGCACAGAACCTGTTATTTTTTAATTTTTTTTTCTGTTAAAGTTTGAATTTTTTTCTTTTTTTCATTAAAAAATAAAAAACTGGAATGATTAATTAATTTGTCAGAAACTATGTATAAGTCCTATCGAAAAGTGCCATTTGCCATATTTTATATTAATATTTGATTGATTGAGTTGATTTTATTCATTTTTCTTACATANGTATAAGTCCTATCGAAAAGTGCCATTTGCCATATTTTATATTAATATTTGATTGATTGAGTTGATTTTATTCATTTTTCTTACATACATATACAGTATTGGCCAATACAATAGCACCCCCATTTCAAAGTGA